CACCAAAGCGTCGGATCAATTCTTCTTTTTATGTTGTGTATTTGTCGGAGACCGGAGGCTTCTTTGGAATATCTGCTATTTAGCTAAGTGTCGAGTACCTTATTAACTGTGTAGTATTTGGAAACGTCTGATGTAATTCTGTTGACGTGTACTCACCCATCGATTTGCGTACACCTTACTTCAGGATCAATTTTTCAATTTTTTTAATAACAAAATAATAAATAAATAAATTTATTACAGTTAACTAGTTGACAGTTGACAGTTTACTAGAAATTTCGTATGTACTTCTACAAATCGTTCACAATAGGAGAATTTTTAGTGTTGGCAATCATGCGATTTGAGCTTCTTATTAGTTAAGCGGTTTCAAAAAGGTTGGTCTAAATAAGCCAGCATTGTTGTTGTTTCATATGTTATTTTTAAAATAAGCAGTTGTTAAACTGACAGTTTAAGGACCTGTCAGTTAATTTCATTTTTGGGCTATTATTACTTGTCTATATAATGGATGTGCAGGTAGATGTTTTTATTCGTTTATTTTTTTAGTCAAAGTATTGTAACTTTCGTTAATCTATACACAACATCGAAAAACTATCGTTGGCTATCGATAACATCATAAATTTCAGCTTTAAGAAAATGGTTTACTAAATATTTCACCGGGTTAGTTTCAACTTACAAGAATATTACAATACGACAGAACTTTTAAATTTGTAGTATTTCTAGAAGTTTTTTTTATTATTTTTTCCTATCAAGTAAACAAAGAAGCTAAAAAAATATATTATCCGGGGTAGTATGGGATTTACACTGGCCGAAAATGACTTATTTCAAATGAATTTGAAAATGACTCAATTCAAATGTGTCATTTAAAAGTGTTTACATTTGTTGTAATTCATTTGTTCTCATTTCAAACAGCTGATTTTTCAACTTGCCAGTTGATTTGTATTTTGGCGTGTACCAAAAAAAGTTGAATGAAGGTTAAATATACCTTCAAACCTTATAATTTAAACTGAAAGAGTTTTGGTAAGAGTAGAAGTTCCAAAAAGAGGTGCATCGTTTTCAAGGAAATGCAACCACAAAATATTTGTTAACCTTTTTTTGTTTTTTTATGTCAAAAACAGCTTTCTCAAACTGTCAAAATGCCATGAAAAGCTTTTATTTAGGGTATGTTCAATGTATTCATTCACATTTGGAACATATTTGGAAATCATTCTAACTTCGTTGGAAATCATTTATACAGAATGAGATCCAATGGATCTCATTTGCGCTTGAGATTTTGTATGCAAAAATGAGTCATTTGCTTCTTATTTTTGATTCTTGACCAAAATGAGCCATTTGGGACCAGTGTAAATGCCATATTACCCTTTACACGTGCACATATAAATGCATGAATAATAGTTCGAAAAATTATATAGAATATGGGCCGCTTAAATTAGGCACTATTAGAAATTGTGAATCTGAAACACAATAGGAAATGCATGCTACTGTGAGTTTTTTGTCAACTTACACATTTCCTTTTGGTTTCAGTCAAGTTTAAACCAAGATTATGGCGGAGAAACTTTCATTCCAAATTGAAAAACTGAGTCTTCAGAACGGTAACGAATCTTCAAAGTCTACTCTGGGGTACAATGGTGACTTAAAGTGGACATCATATAATTCCACCCCTCATAATGGAACTTTGAAGCGGTTGCGGTCAACTAAACCACAAAGAAAATGTGATGAAAATCGTATGGTGGCATCTATATTATTTATCAAAATGAGGCCCTTAGCAACGCGCATTAGGCTTATTGCCGATTATTTGAAGAATGAAGGAATCACTTTAAAAAAAAGTATCCGCCACTTCAGCCTGCAATAATATATGTTTTTTACACAATGTATATAAGTTATTATTTATATGTACAATAAAAAATAAATGCAGCTGTTCATAATTCTATCTGCTGTGTCATTAATTTTTTGCTGTAGATTTTTTAAAATTGATGCGAGTCACCTTCACTGCTATTGTTAGGCTTATCGGGAGGAATATTATAAATTTCAAATTCGTAATTTAGAATAGAGATGAGGTGAAAATTATTTATTGAATAAAAATTCTGCTGAGAACAGTAACGTCCTAAAAACTTTTATTTTTGAGTTTAGTGATAAACTCAATTCAGAAATAAAAAGTAAAAATTTTTGAATAGTTTTTCTTGGAGAATTGATTTAATGGCATTGTGGTGCATATGAGTACCGTGAAGGATGCCTGATAAATTAATTTTTTTTAATTACTTCTAAAAGCAATATCACACTGGAAATATTTATTTTTTGTATAGAATTTATTGATTAATCTGAATAAAAAGTAAAAAAGAAAAATTTGTGTGATATCGGAAACCATTAAATTAAAATTAAAGAAGAGTTCCTTGCAAAAATTCGATTTCTACAATTTATAAACGCACTTTTTTCCTCAAAGTAACAAATTAATAAGAAATCGACCTGTATCTTATTTATTACGCTATTGATTTTGTTTTTGAAAAATGCAGTGACCGAATTGCAGCTACTATACACCGCTAAACAGGAACTGTGATGGACTTTAACAAAACTGTGATAACCACTTCAGGTGTCATATAGACAGGCCCATATTCAGAAGACTGACACGAGAAGGCTACTGGACGCGGCGAAGAATGACTCGCGTCTGCAATGGTCAACTAAGTAAGTAGGTAAGTAATAATAACTGACTCTAGAATCCGGCTATAATAAGGTTGACGCCACCGCTAAAAAGGAACTGCGATGAGCTTTAACACAAAACTGTGATACCCACTTAAGGTGTCATACAGACAGGCCCATATTCAGAATCAACTTTATGCTTAAGACGGGGTATTGTTACACATTTTTGAGGCAAGAGAACTTTTTTCAATTTCGTCAAAATTTACACGCACGCGTTTATGGTGAAAAAGGAACTACTAAAGATTTCAAATTTTTTCTTTGTAATTAAAAGGACGGATAATATAGAATTTTTGGTTCAACCGTTGGAAAATTTGACCTCCATAAATATAGCACCAAAAATGATCGGAGGCTTAATGTCCAGTATACCTCGAAACATGATATGCATAACCATATGCATATCTTCTAAACAATTGACGTTAAATTTGATTTGCCAATTTATGATTAACACTCCATACATTTTTTATGTACCAGACGTATTTTTGTTTAGTGGTTCAAACATATACCTATCGCAGATGGTATTTGTATACTAATACTATTATTCGTATTACTAAGTTACTGATATGCACATATTTAACTCTCGATAATGCTTGCGGTCAACTGAGATGCACTATCAAAATAAACAGTAAGTATGTATGTTGATCCTTTTTTCGAGTCAGCGCAACTGGGGACTTTTACTCTTTGATAGCTGGGGGTACTACAGGGTCCCACCCATCTCATTGACTAATTTATATATTGCCTATAAGCTTTATGATTATTCAGTGATTGATCTAAGATTGTCGCAGATGGTATTTGTATACTTATACTATTATTCGTATTACTAAGTTTCTGATATGCATATATTTAACTCTCGATAATGCTTGCGGTCAACTGAGATGCACTATCAAAATAAACAATAAGTATGTATGTTGATCCTTTTTTCGAGTCAGCGCAACTGGGCACTTTTACTTTTTGATAGCTGAGGGTACTACAGGGTCCCACCCATCTCATTGACTAATTTATGTATTGCCTATAAGCTTCATGATTATTCAGTGACTGATCTAAGATCTGCGTATCTCCCTGTGCGGAGAGTGATTACTCTAAGATTCGAAAGTGGTAAGTATGATAGCTTACATGTCGTTTGTGCGGTTGTACCAAGCCACTTTGAAGAGCCGTCGGAGAGCCTGACTTTGAGTGACTTGTAGCTTTTGTATAGTAGAGTCGGCAGCTTTGCTATACGCGACACACCTATAAAGTAATGCTGGTCTAATTATCTGGCTATAGATCAGTTTTCTGTTCTTCACGCTAAGGTTGAAAAAATTCGAACTGTGAATGTAAAAAATTATACTAAAAAATTTTGCTAAAAAATCATCCATGGTATTTCAGTAATATATAATATACTTAAAATATATATCAATATTTTCTTAATTATTTTCTAACAATGATAGCACAAATTATTCAAATAGATATGTGCAGTATACCATTTGCACACGAAACTATAGCAAAACATAGTAAACTCTGTTGCACGACCCGAAAAGAAAATCTGCATCAAATACCAGGGAAATACCGCATAGCATGTATCGCAGACCGAGGCTTTTCAAGCATGCTTGCAAAAGACTGAAACCACAAATGCTATCAGTGAGACTTGTTACCTGCCGTTTCAGCATTACTACAATTTTCACAACATATTTAATCTAAAAAAAGATTTACAAACAATAAATAAATAAAGCAATATTTGATAGACCTAGAAGAGATAATAAATTCCCTATAAGCATTATTTCTAAACATTGAAGTGTACTAATTTATCAGCCAACATATATTTTTTCTATATCCAAATCTTATACCTTATTGAATTTAAATATATGGAGATGTCCAATCAATATTAAAATCATTAAGATCAAAACCATTTTGGGATGATGTAAAGTTGGGTGTTATGAATATCATGCTAACATTTAAGTAATGTTAAATACATCTTCAGTGACTTAGGCATATTATAACTAATAATATTACGAAAAGTGTGTCAATTTATCAGCAAATACATGCATTCTCGAATAATCAATTCTTATACTTCATTAAATATAAATATTTGATCAATTCTAATTTTATGTTCAGATCTCCAGTCACTACCTAAACTCAACAGACTGCAGCACCGTTACCAGCATAAGCCCATACGCATTTCGTCGGTACAAGCCCATACCTAGTAATATCATAGTGAGTGTTTCAGTTTATCAACGAATATATTATATGTACATTCAATTCATTAAATATATAAATCTATTTATCAATAAAATTATATCAAAAACATAAATATTCAAATAATTTTTATGTTTTATTGTTATACTTTTTTTATGCCTATTAGTAACTTTTAATTTATATTAGACTTGCATCATTTCGGATCTCTTTTTGAAGCCAACAAACGCGATCTTGGCAAACGGCATTGACTAATACTATGTAAGCGATATTGTATTTCTGGTTGATAAATGACATCAGATATTTTCTTTTTAGTTTCTTCAATAGAATGTACTGTAACGCCATGCTCACCCACCTCTTCAACATTAACAGCTTCGCTTTCAGCACACTCGGGACATTGTTGCGCCAATACAATATTATCAATTTCAGTAGGATAGTCACAGGCTTTGGCAATAGTGCTAACAGTGTACTCATTGATTTCAAAAGGATCGTTCTGTCGCTCCGTCACATAAACATAAGCCGTTATATCGTAAACACGTTTCTCAATCATCTTAAAGAAGCGGTGCACATTAATCATATTGACATGTTTGTGCTCACCTAGCAATTCCAATAATTTCTCAGGATTGCAATTACAATATTTGAATATCCATTCAATACCCCGTAGTAAACTCATAATTCGAGCATCGAACTCTTCACGAACTTGCGTAAGATCGTCATTCTTTTTTCTCTGATCCTTAATTTGCCGTTCCAGTTCCCTTATCACTTCTCGCTGCGAAGTCAATTTTTGGTTGTTGTCCCACTTGATTTTGGTAATGCTGCTATAAAGACGATTTACCGAGTTGTTGAGAATAGTCATGTGATAAGCCATTTCGTTGGCATAATGGAAATATGAATAATACAGACTCTCTTGCTTATTGAATTTCTGTATGATAGCTTCTACACTGTGCGTTTGAGTGTAGTTCTGTATTCTATCCATAATTTTTGTGTATAACAAAATTTTTTTAGTATGTTGTTTATGAAACTCTTCTCTACGGCGATACTCTTTCGGCTGTAGATCAGCTAAAGGACGAAATTTACTTTTGATACCAATAAATTCTGACCTATGCGCATCTTCAGCTATTTTACGCATAGTACTATGCATATCAGCTCTCAGAGTTGAGTTCTCTTTTGTATTCCGTTTGACCAAAGTATCGATCCTATCATATAGAGTGATGCAATTATCAAACTTGTTCAGAGCGTAATCAATTAGATCGATAATGTATTTCTTATCACTATTCAACTTCTGCACCAATTTAGTGTAAGAGTCATTAAATATGGTTCTATTATGAAGCATATTAATTATCTCTTCTTTCAGCTTAGCATTTAAAGCCGCAAACTCACATTCACGCCTTACGCTGACTTCAAGTTGATCTTGTAGGTACGATAGTTTCGCCCGCACACTCTGCACATGCTTCTGGTACTGTGCATCTGGTACAGTCTTTTTATTTAACTCAAACAGTTGCTTATTACCGCGGATAATTTCCTGCTCCAAATTATGAATATCAATTTTAAATTTCGATATCTCATCCAATAAAAACTGTTGGCAAAAGACATGCTCTCGAATTTCAGCAAGATAGCGATTACTATCTTTTATATGTGTAGTGCCATTTGCCACCCAAATCCTGGCTCGCAGATCATCCTTTTCCAAACGTAATTGATTGTTTGTGGTTTGGAAACTTTCTTCCAAAATTATATCTTCACGAGATTTCAATTTTGCTGCAAGAATTTTCTTATATTCACGCTGGCGTTTTCCAAGTTCTTTTTGTTTAGATTGATATTCTGCCAAAATCAATTTTTTGGACGGCTCCATTTCGTAAAATTGTTTTGGAATTTGTTGATTATGAATTTCGATTCAGCTTTAAAAAACCCAAATTTAAACGAAAACCTACGCTAAGCTTTACGAAATATATTTTAGTTTAAATTTTTTTTTATATACTTCAAATATATCAAATACATGTCTAGATGTTTAAATACCATGGCCTGCTGTAATTGCTGGAACACATTCAATGGTCAGGATGTGTTGCTATTTCTTTACTCTTCGCACATATGTGATGATAAGTACAAAACTACATAAGACAAAGACACAACAACAATACATATATATATAACATATCATATCGACAACCAAAGCAGAACAAATCCTTAGTGCATAAATCTTCAGCAAATGTAGGTCCAAAAATGACTGTTGCTTTTAGGTTGTTCAGAAGAGTGTATATATACTAAATCTACACACTAAGTCTGCATCCATAATACATATTTGTTACAGCTAATATAATAAAGCTTATCATTGAAAAGTTTTTCATCCAGGTACCAAGTACATAAAATAACGCAAATCATTGCTTAATAATAATTTAAAAAATGGCAGTTAGATTAAATTTCGCAGTTTGTATGACTTATTTAATAACTTACGGCTAAAGCTTTTTTACTTTAGTCCTAGATTCTTCCTCCAACGACTTCTGTTGTAGTTGTGGGTCTATCATGTTCTTTCTCATTATATGGCTGTAGACGAAAAGCATATATTTACTTTAATGTGTCCCCTTCATGAGTGTCTGCAGGCGTTAGAGACATTGATTTGAATTTATTTTATCATGTTACCAACGACGAATTCGAGTACATTTTACTGACTGCATTCTAGCAATTAGTATTTTTTACATATGCTTTCAATAGACTGACTTCTGCAATTTAACTCAGTATTTTCAATAGGTTACCGAAGTAGCGTTGATCATCAGGTTTATCAAATTATATCATAATTTGACAGATCCTTTAAAACCAACTAAAAGGTTTAAGACAATCGTATCAACCTACCCGCATGAACAATCCATATAAGTGAAAAACCATGCCATGTATAACATATCTTACACATTTTCATATCATTCTTAGCAGAATTTGAGGGCATATACTATTCTACCTCAGAATAGATAGACTTACTCATTGATTTTTAAATTTTTTATTAGCTTGCAAATTTTAGTTTATTTTGCATAAAGTATCTTCTATATGACAAAAATTCTTGACGTCTTATAACTGACAACTAATTCACGGAGTGTATTATAAATATAAAGTCAATTAGTATTATTGAAATTTTTGTTGTGCCATTATCCCTCGGTACGGAATAGAATAAGTACTAATATGCGGATTCTCTCTACACCCCAAAATATTCCTTAGGTAGAAAGGTATATAAAGTTAATATATATGGTAACTTCCATAATTTAATAAATTTAAGAAATTTCCATAATATCTATAATTTAAAGCTGCTGCTTGTTATACTTTTCTTTAAAGGTTCTAAGTGGTTCTAACCCCTGAATTTTTAATTATGTACCTGTAGGCCTGAGTGGATCCCTAGGGCTCGCTGGTATAACCTAAACTAACGTATACTTTACTTATTGTCGTGAAGTCGTTGTATATAAAAGCATTAATACATGAAGATCTACATCTCTTTGTGAACCATACATACCATAATTTCAAGATAAAACAAGATTTTGTATTAAAATTCGTGCGTAAATACGCACTTAATTTCGATGTTTAACCAAGTGTTAAGTTACTTGGAACACCTAGCGTTCCCCAAAAACTATGATATAACAATTTATTTCCGCATCGTGTATTAAAAACATTAACTTTTTATAAAAAATGCTAAAAGATTTCATAATAGTTCATAATAGGAAGTTAGCATTCTTCCTTAGTTTTCCTTCAGATATTGCTTCGCGCATTGCATATAACAAATTCGTTCACTTTTGCATATGGGTCTTTTACAAATCGAACACCTTTTTTACCTCATGATCTCCGATTTGGCTGAAATTTTTGTATGAGCTCCTTTCATGAAATAAGAATAACCGTACCTCGGGAAAAAATTTTTTTCCTAGGAGATATGGATCCTTGGCGTTTTGAGAATTGGCATTGTAGACATATTTTCAAATGGCTATATCTCAAGTTCTATAAATGGTAGGAACTTGAAATTTACTACCTTTTAAACAATTAAAATTATTTCTTAAACTTTTAAGAAATTGTTTAAACAATTAAGATTATTTATATTAAAGTACTAATATTAACCGTAAAATTTCAAAAAAAAAAATTTTCTCAAAACACGTACCCAAAATTTTCATTTTTTGTATTTTATTTAGATTCAGTTTTAAATTTAATTGCGAAATAAAAATTTTCTATATCTCCTAGAAAAAAAATTATAAAGTTTTTTCCCACGATACGGGTCTTCTTATTTTATGCATGGAGCTCATAAAAAAATTTCAGCTAAATCGGAGATCTTGAGGTCATATTTTGCCAAAATCCGTCCGGTTTGTAAAAGAATGACCTATATACTAAAATCGACTAAAATTGTAAAACAAACGGCTAAATACAACCAGAAGCTTGGACAATTTCTAACATTAATTAGTAAGTTCCTTTACACATTGGCAACGAGTATCGAATAAGATGGAACGATGATCTGTATGAGTTAACCACAATATTGACATAGTTATAGCATATAAGAATTCAGCAATTTAGCTGACTTTGTCATGTCGAGAGGATTGAAGAAAAAAAAAACGCGGTGTTGAAAAACGCGGTAGATGACATCCGCATCTTCGGTGAAAGAACCAGGTGGCCAACGATATGAAGACACTTGTTACTACCAACTGGCGACAGCAAGACACTGATCCCCGACACAGATGCAGTGTCCTCTTTGAGAGCAAGATTAACCTACCATAAAGTTCTTAACAGATCCTTGCCTAACATCTCTCAGAAAGAACGGCGTCGAGATCAGGATATAGCCACGTGAGTTATGCATAATGACGTTGAGTTTCAGCATTATATGCAACAACAACAATAATCACAACAAAATGTCACCAAAGCTTGAAAAGTAAGTTGAATGGGCCGTGCTCTTTGTATTTTTTAGTTTTAAATAAACAAATAAATATATATATTTAAAAAAATGGGTTTTATAGAAACAAATAACTCGTGCAAAATAGTTATTTGTCATGCATATACACGTGTATTCATTAATGTGTGCCCAAACTGCAGTTCTACCCCTCATGATGTCGCCTACTTGATATCTTACCTTATTACACACGCAAACCTTCGTCTAACCGACCTTTAGATCCATTCTTTTGACATGAAAGGATTTCTCCGTCTGCACCCATCGATTTATTTGATGGGTTTAATTTCAATTTAAATCCCACCCACCTTTAATCCAACACTTGTTCCTAATGCCACCCCCACCGTACTATCAACCATCACAAATCCACATCCCAACCCATATATTCGTCTTATAAATCCCACCCATCTTTAATTCAACACTTCTCCCTAATGCCACCCCTACCCTACTATCAACCATCACAAATCCACATCCTAACCCATGTACTCGTCTTGTGAATACATTTATGTTATTTGCTTTTAGTTTCCAGCGAGTTACTACAACAACAAAAACAACACATGGATCAGACTGACTTCCGAAGTTTACTGGATGCGGCAAAGTACGACTTGTGATTGTAATGGCCAACTTAGTAAGTAATTATCTAATACAAAAACCGATGTAACAGGTGAGGCATCCTTGCTTTAAACCATGTCTTAAAACCTTTCCAAAAACACAATAAATAAACCATTTTCTGTATAATTTAATGTTTATTTGACGTCAAAGAACCGTACATTTAAATTGAAGTGTTTTGCAACTGTGTTCAAATATAAATAAGTCAAACAAATGTGTATACATATATGCTATCTATATATAAATATATAAACGCACATAAACATATAAATAAAATATATAGATTAATATATATAATTATTTATATATAAATATATATATTGGCAGTGGATCTGGTTACCACGACTTTTCATTACATACTTCACAAACTCAGTAATTTGTCATTATTCATTATGCATTATGCATTATGCATTAAGCATTATGCATTAATCATTAATCATTAATGATAATGAATCAATTAATTATCCATTCAATACAAATTCCATACCATTATTAATAGTTGTTTGTTTTATTTTTAAAATTACATATTAGATTAATATGTAAAAAATACACATTTACTTGTATTATTTTAAGTATATTTAAGACATTAACCACACATTACTATTTATGTGTGCAAATATAAAGCATTTTAATTTTATTTTTCATTTCATAATTATATGTATTTTACTCCTATATTATATTATAAGACATATTTATTAAATAAAAACAAAAAAATTTAAAAATAAAAAAGAATATACATTTTTGGTTTTTGTGACATTCATTCATAATTAATTTTTATGTGAATTATTTTCATCATATTTTTTTTATTATTACATTAATTATTAAAAAAAAAAAACAAAAAAATAAAAAAAAAATTAATATATTGAATTTTACACACTCTCGTATATATATTTAAATATTAAAATTTTATAATTTTGTTTGATTTTATCCTAATACTTTTTCCTGAAAAATATGCTCACTTTTTGTTCTTGATCAAATCATTATAAAAATATATTCGCTATTCGTTTATATATCTTGTGTTCTTTGTTTTTATTCAGAATTTCACTTAAAAATTTCATTATTTCGTTTCGTTAATTATTTAATATAAATGTGTGTATACATTTTTGTCATATATTTCGATTGTATAAGTAATTGGAATCTTGTTCTTTTGCAATATGCAATATGCAATTCGCAAATTTGAATAAATTTGAATAAATTTAAAAAAAAACATCGCTGTTTGCTCTCTTACATATTTCGCATTCCTAAGTCTTAATTTCCAATCATTTTATATATTTTTTTAATAATGACATTTTATATTCTGAGATCAATAATTATGTACTTTTTGGATATTAGATCAATTAATTACGTATATAAATATAAATGTTATTTTATGTATGCAGGTGTAACACGTATGTATGTATTCATGCAGCTTTGCTTAAATTACATTGTCTTTTTGTTTGACTGTGGCGCAGCAAATAAATATACGAGATGAAAAATAAAACTATAATATTAGATACAATATTAAATCCTATTTATAATGCAACTGAAGAAATTAATTTAAATAAAATGTAATTGCAATAAATACATTTGTACATTGTTGTTATTGTGAAACATTTACACAGACCTGGCTCTATTGCATGCCTCAGCTCATGTATATGCCAATACTTCATAAAGTCGTTCAATGTGTTATATATGAAAAATATACTTTTTTATTTATTTAATTATAAAAAAAACGTACATATGTTTAGACATAAATTTAAAAACGATTTTTAATTTAATAATTAAAAATCTTTTAGAAGCAATAAGTCATATTTCAAAAGAATAAGAACCACTCTTCTAATTTTTCTATATTAATTTTTCAAAGACCATTAAAGACTAATATAATGGAAATCTCATTGTTTAAACCATAGCTTTGAATCGGTTAATTAAAAAAAATATATATCGTTTTTCTGCGGTTTTTAGTTTACTTCCGATTAAATATTACTTAAGTATTTGCAATACAATTAGTTGCTTTTTTTAATAATTAAAATCATTTTATTTTATTCATAGCCGACTCTTTTAAGTACGTTCACATGAATGAATAAATTTTCTATTTAGTTCGATAGTTCATTATTCGATTCTCGTTATAGCAAAAATATTGGTTTTTTTTCAATTTTTAGTTCACTACCGATTAAATAATTCTTAAGTATTTGCAATACAATTAGTTGTTTTTTTTAATAATTAAAATCATTTTATTTTATTTCATCATAGCCGACTCTTTTAAGTATGTTCACATGAATGAATAAATTTTCTATTTAGTTTGATAGTTCATTATTCGATTCTCGTTATAGCAAAAATATTGATTCTTATTCAATTTTTAGTTTACTTCCGATTAAATCTTACTTAAGTATTTGCAATACAATTAGTTGTTTTTTTTTAATAACTAAAATCATTTTATTTTATTCATTTCTTTAAAATAAATTAATTTTCATTTACCGACTATTTTAAGTATATTCACAGGAATGAATAAATTTTTTATTTAGCTCGATAGTTCATTTTATTATTGTTTCGGTTCCGATTTTCGCTATAACAAAAATTAGCTCTTTTTGATCTTTACTTCTATGTTAAGTGAATTTTTTTGTGTTTAGAACACATATTAATTATTTTTTCATAATTGAAATTATTTTATTTTATTCATTCTTCTAAAATGAACTAATTATCAATTACCGGTTATTTGAAGTATATTATTTTAAGTATATATCAATGAACTATTTCGTTCATTTAGTTCCATAGTTCGTTTCAATTCAGTTCCGAATAATGATTTAATTAAATTATATTCATAAACAAAATAAAAATAAAAACCATAAACTGAAGATAAATATGCGTAACGAACTGTGTAGTGCTGAACCGAAATAAACGGATATATTCAGTACTTGTATTCGAACCGATAAAAAAAAAATTGATTTTTTTGATTTGTGTAAATCCGATTTAAAACATAGATTTTAACATAATTAAAACTGTGTATTAGCAAGCTATATAGTTGTGATGCGATACTCATCAATAGATTAGGGTAAACGCGGAAATGATTACAAATTGTATTGAACATATAAAACTGTTTATTAAATCCTTAAAATAAACCATAGTGATTTTCATAGTTTCAAGTAACGAGCTCAACTAACGAGTAACGAGCTCAACTAACAAGTAACGAGCTCAGTAAAGAAAATAACAGCGCATAACAGCAACAACAAAATATTATTCAACAGAAACCAGCGTTGCGTGCGATGCGGGAGTCAATTTGATTTTATTTTTTATCCTTATTTAAACTCAACAATAACATATAAAAGCATTGCTCTTTAAGAGAAATTCTAGTACATATTTTTTCACTATCTCTCATTTCAAAATTTGGAATATTTTGTTTGTCTTATTTCCCGGCACAAATTCAACGCTATTAACTATATAAACTGCTTTAAAGAAACTTTAGTATATTATATATATACTATAATTTACATACTATAGTTTAAATATACTATAAACTATATATAGTGTTTTGTATATACTAGAAACCATGATGGGTATTTGGCGATACTCGAAATAGCTGTATGGTCAGCCAAAAATTCAATTAAAAATAATAAAAATTTTTGTTGTTGCAATTTACTACTGTTCAATAAAAGCTCTCTATTGAAAACAATAATTTATATTAAGAATTTAGTTTCCTTCATCAAAACAGACGTTAAAAATCAATTAACTATACTAGAAACTATAATATATTACAGCATATTTGATATAATTAAATAAATCTAAGTTTGCAGAAATAACATAAAAATAAATATTTTTATGTTACAACATAAAGAGTGGATAATTTTTAAGTATGACAATGTACTGCTTTAAAAATTATGTTAAATAAAATTATTTTTAAATTAATCACTTTTCCATGACATATGTATATTTATTGTCTATACATATTTACAAAAGAGAAGGGAACATTTTATGAAATTGTATTGGCAACTGCTCAAGGGTTAAATGATAACTAACTAATACAACACAAAACCACAGTCGTGGCTAAAAGAATGTTCAGCTAAAAAATTATTTTTTCATTATTTATTAAATTAAATAGAAAATAATGATGAGAATAATTTTCAGCACAAGTAATACTTTTTGGTTTGAATTTTGTTGCATAATAAATTAACAAAAAAAAACAGTTCGATCATTTATGTTTTATGTGTCATTGACTTATGTATAAGTTATAATCTATACGTGAAGAGTATTCAATTTTTGAACAAACAGCATGGCTCTTTTTCAAATGTCTTGGTGGTGTTTTCGCTATGCAATATTGCATATTAATGGCAGTATTATTTTACATGCTTTATTTGCATTATGCAAAAGTGCATTGTTTTGCTTATGCAAAATTTAACTAACAAAATTTAAGTATTATAGATTTATATAATCTAACAGAACTAAATTAGAGAAGTCAAAATAATTACTATTAATTATGGCTGCATTGGAACTAGTTAACATTAACATAATTACGTATCTTACGACAACGGAATGAACACAATTAAATCTAAAAACCCAATAAACACTATAATGTAATGTTTTTAAATTTCATTTTTTTGATTTATAACAAATTTTGAAGATATTTAACTATCTTTAGCAACAGATGTTTACAGTTTACAACCGTTCATCATTCTAAAACATACAACTATCAGAATTATTCTTTAATAAATAATTTAGTACTTTAGATTTTACCAGTTTTACCAATACAGCATTAACTAAACAACTTGCAATAGTAATCTAACTAATTAAACTTATTACTTATTTTTACGTACATAATAGTCACTAATTTTAATAATTTAAATTTTACAACTTATCCAAACAGAAATAAACAAAATGTTCTCTATAACATTTTATGTTAACTTTCGCAACGTATCATATACTTAGTTAAAGATTATAGCACATAACTATTTAAATAAATAACAGACTATTGAATTTTTTTTTTTTTTGTGTAATTTTAAACAAGGACCCTTCTTCAAACTACCATTTCAAATGCTGACGGAGGCATATATAAAAGCCAGAAACTAGAAAAATGTAACTAATTAATAAGATCGAGGCTTTGAACTAGTTATATATTTCGTAGCGGTTCAATATAAAAAATGAAATATATGGTTCGGCTTCATTTTTCTTTCTGGCAAAAATAGGGTTTTCTAATTTCAGGTCGAAATAAATGTTTTTTAATATCGCCTACATATATATGTGAATATACTTAATTCACATCAATGAACTAGCTCAAATCCATTACTTTCAATAGTTCAGAATATTATACTTAGTTCATGTTCCCCCGAAAATATGAATTTAAGGCATAATTTGAATTAATAAAATATGTATAATCATAAGCAATATAAAAAAAAGGACAACTGAAGGGAATTAGTGTGAATAAAAAGGTACTGAACTATACGATGCTGAACCGTAAAAAGTCAATACACGTCTTTCGATTCAGTTCCAGTTTTTGCTCTAACAAATATAAAAACAAAAACTAAGACAAAGAAATTAGTAATTAATTAATTAGAATTTCGAATGGACTTAAACCTTAAAAACAACGATTTCGAATGTTGACGAAACTAGCAATGATACGAAAGCTTTTATATCCTAAAAAATAGTTCAAATGGAAACTAACTAAAAACTAAATTTGTAATAAAAAGGACACAAAGCAATCGTTACTACATTTTTGTTATGATAGTATATATAAATCCAGATTTAAAACTGCCAGAATATAACAGAACATAAGCAGATTTTATTTGTAGCCATGTGAGAATGAATATTTGAAGTTGTAGCTCTTGAAAGATTCAAAAATCCTTTTAACACAAACATATATAACCTCCCTTGTAATATACAACTAATTAACTACTTTCATGTTGCTTAAGTTATGTACTTGTCGGTAAGTATATGTTGCTTTAAGATAACACAAACTTAAAAAATAAAACAGAAATTTGAAATATGATTAATCTTGTTTAATATAGAGCAAAGCTGATTTTTTTTTGTAAATATCACGATAGTTATTTAAATTAAAATCTATTGAAGCCGATTATTCTACATTTTTTCATACTATTGTGACTGTTTTTTTTTTTTTTTTTTTTTTTTTTTTTTGTAGTCAAATAAATGACTGATTAATATTTATTTTAAAAATACTTTATATATGCGCAAACAGTTCATGCTGTTTTCTTTATTTTTCATTAAATTCTTAATTTTTTGGATGTGGGACTTTGGGATTATCAAAGTATATGATATCTAACTTATAAATAAACAATAGGTTATCTACATAATTATTACTAAATATGAATTTAATCTTGTTTGCTTTTTTTCATTTCTTTTTTCTTTTTTTTAGATTTGAGTGTATAAAAAAAATACTTTATCTATAGAATTATTACTATTAAAATATGATTTAACTAGAACTAGTGTTTTCATATCATACGGTCGGATGTGGACTTAGTGGCACTGCCGGTGGTTTGTAGAGGGTGAAAGCATCATATGTTTTCAATAGGTCCAACAACCGATATTCCTCCAGACAAACAATACCTTGTAAACTTGGTGATAATTTTAGTGCACAGGCCATACAATGTACGACGTGACGTTTTTCTTGTTCACGTATGAAAAGAACATTAAATACTTCAACCTGTTAAAAATAATGAAAATAATATTTAATAAAATTTTCTGATAATGTAGATAAAAATCATCTAATATTTATTAAAATTATCTTAAAATACTTTTTTAACTAAAAACGAAATATTACTTATATAAAAAGGTGTAGATACGATTGGTTTGATATATGTACTATAGAAAAAATGCATACATCTTTCATCGCTCTAAATTTTCTTTACCGACAGGGGAGCATCAAAGCGACATTAAAAAGACGCTCCGAAGTAGTTCTGCGGAATATAATTAAAATTTGTGTCATGTACGTAATTTTCATAGCAATTAAAATATTTTAAATAATCAAAAATATTTTTTTATAATATATGTTATTAATATAATATCCATTGTATATACATTATATGCAATATTTACAATAAATACAAAATATAAAACATATTGATAACATATACATTTTCTCGACAATACGGGCCCTCAATAATTTAAGCACACAATAATTGGTATACACAAAAATTCGGATATTTTTTTTCATCTTAATTCTTTTGTTAATAATTCCTATATATGGTATATTATTATTTAATTTTTAATATAAAACATTAATATAGTTTTGCGTATACATTTTGTGGAATATCGCTGCCAATAATGATACATAGCGATAGAATTTAATTTTCTGAGAGTTCATTCGAAATAGTACCTTAGACATCTAATTTGATATTACTCTGCCGATATAATTGATTTTTGCTCTGAATTTAATACCTAACTTCATTAATGTACAGTAAATTGTAGATACGATTGGTTTGATATATGTTCTATAGAAAAGATGCATATATCTTTCATCGCTCTAAATTTTCTTTACCGACAGGGGAGCATCAAAGCGACATTGAAAAGACGCTCCGAAGTATTTCTGCGGAATATAATTTAAATCTGTGTAACATACATGTCTGTCACAACAAGCAATACAATATTCATATACAAAAATCTATTGAAACAAAGCAATAAAATAAAATATATCAAATTATAAAAATAATAATATATTTGATATATATAATTCATACATACGTATTTATATAGTACCTACAATTTATATAACATATTCATCATATACAATATATATAAAATATGCAATACATATGTAAAATGTACCATATATATAAAATACACAATATATATAAAATATATAATATATATATAATATATACATCCGTCATTCTTGGTTTGTACACATAAAATTCAAATAATCAATGTCTTTACATGACACAAAAACCATAATGTTCGAAAACTGTATATTTAAATGATATAATTTTTCATCAGTTATTTGGACATTTTGGTAATCAGGATAACCTTTAGAAAATAACTATCCATATTATCGAGAGTATAATACACACTATCTACATTACACAGATCTACATTATTTATTTAAAAATGTTCAACAAACCTCGCATTGGCCGCAATAATGCGATGCTTCATTTTTGCCCCGCCCATGAAAACGTACTTCCACTCCTTTCATCTTAACATATTCTAAAGTATGTATAACATATCTTAGAGTTTGCATTAAGCACATCCTTAGGAAAGAGAAAATTCATATTAATTAAACATTCTTGTACACAAATATCAAAGTGCACCTACTTTATCAATTCAAAAAGTTTTGGATCGGATACTTTTATATTGCGCGCAAGGTTCCAGCTCAGATGTATCATTGGCACAATGCTTTTAAAATTTTGTAGTTTATTCCATTCATACCGCTCAACAGCTAATGAATATTGGCGAGCAGTCAGTGGACCAACATTCCAAGCAATATTATTACACCAACCTACTGATTGCACCCAGTGAACACATCTGCAAGAATAAAAAGCACAATTACTAGTAAATTAAATATGATTCGAGCTAATATGATTCAAGCTAAGCAATTTTATTAAGGATATCAGCTAGGTAAAAAGTAACATCATTGCATTCAGTACATTGTGACCGAAAATTTTAAATAAAACGCAAAATTCTTAATCTTCATCAATATTTATTTTATCTCCTTCAAAATATGCTCCATTAGAAGCGATACACAAATGCCAACGTTTCTTCCAATCATCAAAACATTTTTTATAGGCGCTTTCCGGTATGGCTTTGAGTTTCCTCTGCGAATTCTGTTTTACGTCTTCTATGGATTCAAAACGCGTTCCTCTGAGTGGTAATTTGAGTTTGGGAAACAGGAAAAAGTCACACGGTGCAAGATCAGGTGAATACGGGGGCTGTTCGATGGTATTTATTGAATGTTTGGCCTTAAAATCGTTGATAATGTTGGCTCGGTGCGAGGGAGCATTATCGTCATGAAAAATCCATGAATTATCCTTCCACAATTGAGGCCGTTTACGGCGGATATTTTCACGCAAACGTCTTAAAACAGTCAAATAATAGGCTTTATTGACTGTTTGTCCTTCAGGGACGAATTCATGATGCACCACACCACGAATATCGAAGAAAACAATCAGCATTGCCTTGATTTTCGAGCGACTTTGGCGTGGTTTTTTCGGTTTCGGCTCGTCTTTTCCTCTCCATTCCGATGATTGTTGGCTTGTTTGCATGTCGTACTCGTAGACCCATGTCTCGTCACCCGTTATGATGCGTTCCATGAAAGTTGGATCGGAATTGGCACGATCAAGCATGTCTAACGAGACCTGTCCACGATGGTGTTTTTGGAACAAATTGAGGTGAATCGGAAAAAGCCGAGCGTTGACACGTCGCATACACAAATTGTCCACCAAAATCAAACGAGCCATCTCACGACCGATGCCTAGCTCTCGTGCTATCTCTCTAACACTCACATGAGGATTTTTGAACACGATTTCCTTTGCCTTTTCAATGTTTTCGTCGGTGGTAGAGGTCGAAGGTCGTCCAGAACGCGGCATGTCTTCGACGGTCGTACGACAGTCCTGAAAGGCTTTGTACCACTCATAAACTTGAGTTTTCGATAAAACTGATTCCCCATAAGCCTTTTGTAGCATTCGCAACGATTCTGCACACGAAAATTCGTTCGAAACACAAAATTTGATGCAAACTCTTTGATCAATATTTTTTTCCATTGTTTTTTTCGCAACGCACTACTGAGGTGAACTGGTTTCAACAGCTGCCGTAAACGAACTGTCTGACAGATCGCGCTCATTTTTGGCATAGTAATTAAAGACAGTGCTGCCAAACTACATAAACTTAAAATATCGAAAAATATACAGCGCGCGAATTTTAAATGAGAATTTCCGAAAACTTTTCGGTCACAATGTAGAACGAAAGTTAGGTAATAAGTACTCATCATATTAATATAATTAATTCTTAGTTAATGGAATAGCATAAATTTTTAAACTTACCCAGCATTTACCCAAACTAAATCTCCAGGACGTTGTATAAATCTATACACGGGTATGTTGTCCTTATATAGATCTTCTAATACTGGCCACCATGATCCGTGTAAATAACTTATATTATTCTTTTCACAAAGATTATGTATACCACCCCAATATGCATCAGGCACAGCAAACCATTCACAATCACCAGGACCAATATTAATGTTTATAGAGCAGAAGTTGTTATTCTCCTGATGACCTGGGGTACGACTCCCTGGTACTTTCATATACAATTGCACTGTATTCATTCCTAAAATAACGTGGCCAACATGCGACAACATATTTGCAGCCGAAATTACACGAGCAAAAGCTGGTAGCTTCTGTAATTCTGCTAATTGTGGTTTCCATTTGCGTTCATCTGACAAATCCACATTAGTACCAAATCTAAAAACATAGCATAAAAAATTCAAGTTAACAAAAACGTAATTTAATTCAAAATTAAGTGAAATATATTGAAAATCATAAAATTTGTTTTGTTGGGAGATCTACTATCAAACTTCGCTCATATGGTGTTAGAACGATGTTAGCGAAAAACTCTCGAAATTATATAGCACTTATATATAAATATTCAGCTTCAGAATCAATACTAAATACTACCAAAACATAAGTGCATAAAAAATAACGTTACACGTTTGTGCAACTGCATTTCAAGATATGTGTTCTCAAGACATATTAAACAAAAGTTAACTTATAATTACCTTAACATTTTATTATTATTTTTATGCTTCTTCTTCTTTCCGTTTGTATTCGAATTGCTTATTGAGTCTTTGGAGTCTGAGTCGGACATTGTTTGTACACCTTTCGAAACTTTTTCACGATCATCCTAAAATTAGACATGTAATTTTAAAAATTTGTTATAACTCCAAAAAATAAAATAAAAAAAATTTAATATTAAATTATGTCAGTTAATATATCTCCACATTTTCTTTCTCAGTAGAACGAAAGTTAATAATTATAAGAAATCATCACACAAGTTTTGTTTGTTCTGAAAACAACAAATTATATAAAATATAACTCACCTTCAAACTTTCCTGAAAACTTAAAGCTTGATACTGGGCATATTTCGAAATGGTTGTATGAGCTCTATGCGAAATACAGGCCCAAACCCGTTTCGCCTGAGACGCATCCCAATTCTCATCAGGTGGTTGATGTACTTGCGTACGCACTTCCACACTGTGATCAGGATTTGCTTCCACTAATGTTTTGGTTGAAAACAAGCCTAAATCAAGCTTTAACGCTCCTGCCAAGCCACGCACAACAGCTATTGGATGTTTAAGACAAAACTCCTGAAGCTGTGGACTGAATGCATGCTTCTTATTTTCCAAATGTACTGAAGGTGTTGGTGGTAATAATTGATCACGTGTCAATCGTTGTGGTGGACAGTCAGGTGGTGATGGAGGTGGAGCATTTATGTGCAACACTGAGCAATTTGGTGGTGGTTCATTTATTGGAGCATGTTTTAAAGCTGCTAGCAATTGCTTTGAATCCATTTGTATCGAATATTTGGGGGCTGCTTCGTTACCTTCATTTGTTTCATCATCATCATCTTCGTAAACTTTCTCCATTCTCATGTTTACTATTTCAGTCTCAAATTCTTCCTCTTCCTCATTATCTGCTACTTCAACTTTGATAGCACCTTCTTTATGTTGTGTTGCGTGGGTTTGAATGTTATTCGTAGACGTTGATGTTGCCTCGCATTTTATAGGTGGTGTTTTGTTTCTAATACTTGGTGATAAACCACTAAATAAGTCCTGTGTAGTATCATCGAGATCTTCTTCCTTAATATCTAAATTTTCAGCGCTAAACGTTTTTAGTATATCGTCTGCGAATGACGATGCTAAATCTTTTTGTGACAGAATAGCTTGCAGTTCTTGATCACTTACACCTAAAATTAAAAACAATAAGAGTAATTAGAGTGACATTAGATAATTGCAAACATTTTTATTTTACTTTATGAATTATTTGAAACAATCAATTTTACAGTAACGACAATAGGTTTTATTTGTGGTTCTAATAAAACGAGTCTACGCCTAACTAGAAAACCAAGTAGCGCTCGCATCTCTCAACAAGGACAATATCAGCAGATACGTTTTGCTTACGGATGACTACACCAACCTTAATTATATTGCATGTAATATATTCTGTCATCTATGCTTCTCATTTAGTGGAGCTTAAATTGGAACTTATAGAATATAAGTTTATATTTCTAATAAAATCTAGAATATATCAAGTTCCTATAATGTGCAGCACTCACAGAGATGACAGATAACTAGTGACAACTACTGTATTTTACTGTGCACGTTTAAAATGATTAAAATCCCCCACACCTCATAAAAATGAGGGATCGAAAAAAAAAAAATGAAGATAAAAAAAGAATACGCGTATATGCGTAGCTATATATAAATTTTATTAACATGACACATGTAACGACCTCAACTAACCATTATCAACGATCTCGCCGTAAATATTAGTGAAATAAAAATGTGCACGAAATGGGGGAATAAATGCGTCTATTCATTTTATATCAATTGAATCGTGAGTAGTAAAGATGAGACCACGTGACAAATTTACTTACCTAAGTCATTTTGATCGCTTCCTGGTGACAAATTCGGAAACTCAGCACCAGATTCAATTGCCTGTACTGGCATTGACACTCCTTTTGGTTGAGTAAGAGTGTTCAAATCCGTTTGTTGCGGTGCACTATATGCTGGTGGGGGTATGTTCATGGTATCATCCGCATTAGGCGGTAACACTGATGTATTCATTTGCTGCATCTGCCCATGAATATTTGCTAACTGCATACCTTGTGCTACTGCGGGTTGCTGTTGCAACTGCTGCTGGTGCTGCACTTGCAACTGTTGTTGTTGCTGTTGTTGCAGCTGTTGCTGCTGAAGTTGGAGCTGCTGCTGTTGCTGTTGCAACTGTTGTTGCTGGCGCATTGATTGCTGATATTGCTGCATCAGTCGATACTGATTACCAAGCTGTTGGAAAACCATTTGTTGTTGTGGATTCAATGTACTTTGATTTTGTTGCAAGAAATTCAACATCTGCAATTGCTGCTGTGACAGAAAAAATGCAGGTTGAGCCGGGCGACTACCAGTTTGAATTTGTGGCTGCGTTGCATTTTCATCTTTGAACCTTTTTGCTGGCACAGGACTGGCGTTCGTGCCCTGGTGCGGATATGGTGGTGGTGGTCCCTGTGTATTCTAATAAATATATTTAAATTGTTATTAAATAATCACACTACTTATCAACATTTTTTAATTTTAGATATAATTATAAATTATATAAATTAAAACTGTAAATTAAAATATTAAATGCTTCTGTTAAAAAACCTAATAATAGAATTTAAATCTACCTCGCACGTGCTTCATCGTTGCGTACTCACACGAAAGTGAAAGAATATATTTAACAGAAACGGAAACGTGCTACATCTCAATGTGTTAAGACCCAGTCGATAAAAAAAAAACGAAATGTATCGATATTCACACACAAAACTCAGGGTTGCATTTCAAACATTATAAAATATTTTAAACAACTGGTAATACAACAAACACAACTTCCAACATTTTATATATCTGAAAACATTTTTTTACTGTATATATATTAGTTTTATATATATTATATATATATATTATATACATATATTAGTATTATATATATTATATTATATATATTATATTATATATATTATATTATATATATTATATTATATATATTATATTATACATATTATATATATTATATTATATATATTACATATTACATTATATATATTATATATTACATATTACATTATATATATTATATATTACATATTACATTATATATATTATATATTACATATTACATTATATATATTATATTATACATATTATATATTTTATTATACATATTATATTATAGATATTATATATTATATTATAGATATTATATATTATATTATACATATTACATATTTTACTATACATATTACATGTTTTATAATACATATTACATATTTTATTATACATATTATATATTATATTATATATATTAGTTTTATTTATATTACATATATATTATATTATTAATAATATATACATATATATATTATCAGCTATAATTATTTATCAATATTATGTTGAAATTGATTATATATATTTAGTAATAAATAAGCAATTATATTATATACATATAATTTTTTTATTAAATATGTAATTCGTGTCGATAAAACTCTTATTACACCGATACAAATACTCGTTTTAATCAAATTAAATATATTATATTTAATATATCAAATTAAACGGCATTTAAACGGATATTTCAGTGCATAAATTACATACAAATTGTGGTTGGAATTGTAGTTAATAAATATTAAAATTTTGGCGTGATATAATATATAAAATATTATAAGAATGGTAAAAATTAACTAAAATTATTATATATATATATATATATATATATATATATCTAATCCTACAAGTCAACACGATGCATATGTACTAGAACTATGGTATTCAGAATCTGAGTCAAACCTCACTAAGGTCTGCTGCGCGATTTAAAAGAATCCCTATGCCTCTTGAATTCTAGGGTGCCGTGATTAAGTAACCAATCTTTCTAAATTTCGCCATTCTGTGCAACTTTTGTCAATAAGGGTATAGTAGATATATCAATATAGCTAATTTTTCGTTATATCCGCCGACTTTAAAAAGCTGTAGATATTTACATTGAATATACAGACAACTAAATGCGATATTTAGTTGTAACTAGTATGTAAATTCATTTGCTTGATGAATATATATTAGTTCACAATGTTAACCATGTTAAAAAACTTTAACGAGAGCTATTTGGCATTTAAATAAAAAATCTTAATAAGAAAGCAAGGACTAAGGACTAATTACCTAGGTCTGAGTCTATCTGTGAACTCACAGTGACTTGAAGTTATCAGGAAATGGGCCAAAAAAAAATTCTGCAGAACACTAGCTTAAAAATCCTTGTCCCAGCGAATCAAACATCAAATCAAGTAAAATACTTTCACTATTCAGGGTAGATTTAAGACTCTCGTAACTTTACAGATCAAAGCAACCTGCTTGATAACTTAAATTAGTTGGGACTAATGTCTGTCAAAAAGTTCAAAACACGTTCTTTGTAAATATCTATTTCTTAATAGACAAAGATCACACTACCTATTTAGGTGGCTCCATTTTAATTACAGAATAAAAAAAACTCCAAACTGTGCTTACATTTATAAAGAGTCTAAATATACAGAATTAAGGATTAAGTCTATACATAATAGATTTATTTAGGTCGCAATGCTTTTTAGTTTTTAATAATAATAATTAATCAAGGTAGTTAATTTTAGTAACAAATGGTAGCTGGTAAAAGCACATACAATTAGCTTTAATAAACAAAACAAACTACATGGTTAAAAAATGTATGTTATGTTATGAGTATTCATAATTATAATAAATTTATGTTCTATGTAGTATCGTATATATATTATTTAAATTATACTATTGTAAAAAATTTTATAATAACAAATCCAGAACTTTATGACTACTTAACAAAGGCACTAAGATTAATTTAATTCTTAGACAAAACCTTTTTTTTTCCTATAAATAAGTTGGGAATCATTACACTTAGACGTGGTAATTTTATTAATTTAAAGACAGTTTAAGAAAAAAAAGTGGGAATAGTAATAATAAATAATTATTACAGCTATGTAAAGCATGGTGTCTCAGTAGGTATAATTTATTCATAAGCAATAAAATTGCACTTAAGCTGCACATAATTTATTTCTCCCACTCCCATTCCAAATGTTACATTCATATGATTGATCTTGTTACCTTAAGCAACCCGGGTATTCACCAACCCATGTGCAGCTGGATTAATATAGCAAACGATACAGTAATATTGGTTCTCTAAAATTATGTCTGCTTTGGGTCCTGAATATGAAATAAAACTGTTATCAAAGCAATTTAAACTAACAGTTAGAAAACATAGAAAAACTTGAACTTGAGAATATATAATACATAAAACTGTTCGCGTTCTATAGTTTTATTTTAGAGTACTTATGTAAAACCACTTCCCTCATTTGCCAGGATATAAGACAAATAAGAGGGCATGAAAGAAAAAATGAATTTTCTTCCTTTAGAGTAATTGAATTAATTAATTATATTTTTATTTTGTTTTTTTAATTGTTAAATTTCAATACTATCCTTTTGTAGAGGCTTTATTTATTGCCTTACTTTATTTCTTTCTTGTGCATAGAACCTAATGTAGAAAAGATTTAGATAGCCATGCTAATGTTACTCTACGATTCGAGTCGGCGAGACTAGAAAATGAATATATTTTTTATTCGTATTATTTTCATTATAATTCTATATTAAATTTGATTTTAAAGTCAATATGACAGTAGTGAGTATTCTTATTTTAATAGATGGTATTTATGGTATCTATGGTATTTAATAAAGAGGTTTCGAAAAGTAATGAACTACAACAACAAAAATTATTTTTTTAAATATTTTAATTAATTGAATTTTTGAATTTCATTTTCAATATTGGAATTATTTCTTTTTTTTTTTTTAATTTTCGTAAATAATTTTTTTAAGACTGCAAATATTAAGGGTTGAACTCGTACCCTGCCAAATTTCGAGTTCAGAGTTAGAGTTAGCCGCAAAATTTTTACAAACTTCCAACAATCAGAAAATTAAGAAGTAAAGTTACAAATCTATAGAATGCATTGAGAGACCAAAATCGGAATAGAATTCTTACAATTTTCTTTGATTTAAAGCAATTTGAAAACAGTACAAAGTGTGTTCTCTTTCCCCCTTCCCCGTTTTTTCTTTTTTGTTTATACTTTATATAAACTATTTATGGCAACATCATTATCTACTCGTGAAAATTCAATATTCTTAAATCACATTATTGATTTAGACAAAACTATATTTAAATAAAGCGAAACTTTTCAGATGAAATAAAACTTTTTTTATTTAAAATAATAAAGTACAAATTAAAATTTAGCTAATTCTATATAATAAAAACCAAACGTAAAAGACTGAATTTTTCAAAAATTTATTATTAAACATTATTCAATACGTTTTTCATTTTTTTTATACATAAAAAGCTAGTCAACAAATAATATTAAAATAAGTTTATTTATATGAATTACATAGTTCACATATTTTTTAATATTTAACATTATTCTCAATATCATAGTATCATTATTATACAAATATTTTTATATAAATCGTTCATTTGCTAAACTTTATAGATTCATATTTTTATAATATTTAAATAGCTATTAGTATATATAGATTTATATTATTATATTTTAACTTTAAATTGAATATTTAATAATTTTTTTAAATTTTGGGAAAAGTTTCGCTTTATTGAATATGGTTGATATAAATCTAAAAATATTTAAGCTAAAGACAGATACAATAAACTTGGCCTCTTATCACCACAATTTTATACCTAGTATAATTATTAATTTGATTATATTTTTTATCAAACATTTATTATTAAATTACTACGAAAAACCTTAACCCTTAAAAATAAATGGAAATACTTGGAGAAACTTTCTTAAACTAATCTATAAAGAATGTGTGTTTCAGAGAGCACTTTTGAACATGTTTGAATGGAACAAGCAGTATATTCAGCACATCTATTGATGAGCTTTTTAATTCCAGAACATTGTATAAAATTATACACAAAGCTACAAGTATTAGCGAAAGATGTAGTAAGATAAGCCTACTGTTTCGATGATCAATTTGATTAATAATGTTTAAAGTAGAATTTTGTAACGCCTGAAGAAGTCAAACGAACTTATGCCAAATATGTATAAATAAGATAATTATATAAAACAAATCAACTAAAAACTAACAAGTAGTTTTTAAAGTTCGCATAAGTCTTATAAACAAAAACAAAATTTTTGTTAATATAGATGGGTACCAAAAAAAACGTATCAAATTATTATAAAGGGTGTGACCTACCGCAGAACTAATGAAGTTGTTCTATGTTAAAAACATTAAGGGACTTTGATAATTGGATCATGATATTTTTATTTAAAATATAATTTGAAAATATAATTAGTTTTGAAATAAGTTGTATTTAATTAAAAATTGCATCAAATTACTTGAAAAATATTTTATAGGTAACTAACACTCGTATGTTATTGCATGTCACAAAGTATACTTATGGATTTATCACCTATAGAACCAGCCAATACGACATACAGACGGGCAAACCCTCATGTAGTTTTTATAAAGTAATAGAAAATAATTGATTCAAAATCAGAAAAGTAATACTATAAACAGAGCATGTTTATTAATTGAAATTATATTGGAACTATAACCGACAGATATTATGCTATTTAAACTACCCTTCCCTAATCAATAAAAATAAATATATAATTTATATTACAAAAGAATAAAAACTATCATAATCATGGAGATACACATATGTTAACATTACTATTAAAAATAAGAAATTAATATTATAATAAGAATATACATATATAAATGTGCATATATATAATTAACTTACAGATCCATGTGTGGAAGTTTTGTTAATTTGACGTTGTTGTATATGTGTTGAATGCTGATGTTGTTGCTGTTGTCTTGAACTCATTTCCAGCGAAATTGGTAAATTCCAGGCCTCTTCAATAGAACAAAGTTGTCGTCTTTTTGATGTTATACTTGGCATAGGAGCTTGCGCCAACTGTGTTTCTAAAAATTTTATACGTTGTGCCAATCCTTTAGTCAAGCCTTGGCACTCTATTGTTTTCAATTGCACTGAAGTATCTAATGATGTACAATTTAACCTATCGTGTATTCGATTTAAATTATTGGCAGTGGTATCTTTTTTGTGTGAGTTCTGAAATATATAAAAAGAGATATAATATTATAACATACAATATTAAATAATGTATGAATATATAATCTATATTCTATATCGCGAAAGTATCGTGAAACTAATAAAGTAATTATATTTTGAAAACCCCTTCCCCTATTACCTGAAACGTATATATTAGTTTGAAAAGATTAGTATTAGTTTTTTGAAGAAATCGAGTTGCAGAATTAATTTATAAAACTATTTTTATTCTAATACCAAGAGCACTTTGTTGAGATTATTCAAATTCTGAAAAAATGTATTCAAAAAAATTTTATCAAATAAATATTAAATAATCAAAATTTCAAGGAAAATGCGATCCAAAAAAATTATGATTATTGTTATGAAATAAATATAATGCCAAAACACTTAAATTTATCAATAAATATATTTAAATAAAGAACAAAATTTTTTTTGAATACTTTTTATTATAAAATATTTCTTTATCGTTTATAATCTATTAGAATTTTTACGAGAAATAAACTTTAGCTAACTAAATATAATATTTGGGAATTAAATATAAGAAACAAATACAATGGAACTACATTTAATAGTGCATCAATAATGCTAATAGGTTTCAACGTATTAGAAAGGGTCCTGATCTACGCTTTAATGATTTTTGTCGGGGTTGTCGAATAAGTATGAAACTATACTATACCCATTATTTGAATGGGTGCTCACGTTTCGGACTTTCACCTTTAATTTGGTTTGAAATACCATACGAAATATGTCTCATTCTTCGTATCATAACAGGCCATTATTAGTGTTCCACTAATTTAAGATAAACATAATAAACAAGACATTATGTTTACAGCGACACCTACCATGCGTTTAATGTGTTTCAACCAGGGATGATAACAGTTTTCATTAAAAAAATAAAAATCAACTAATAACTCATCATTCATATTTTATAATGAAAATCAAAAAATAATAATTGAATTTGTTTTATAACATATTTTTCAAAAATAATTATTATGTACCTTTTACTTTTTCGCGCACCATACACTCTACACAAACTCATACACTCTCCTTTGTATTTTAAAACGCAAAAATAATTATAATTTTTGCTTTAAAAACAAAAAACTCAAAAATAACTATTATTTTTGAAAACAAAATATTAACAACACATCGGGTGTTTTATAATTAAAAATAGAAAAATAAAACGCTTTTGACTGTAATGTAATTGTTTTTGTAATTTAAAAAATAACTACCTTTATAACAAAATGTTATTAAACATTAAATATAATAAAACGTCACAATCTTGGCAATTCTATTACAATTGACTAATGGAAATCTGATTTCAGAACTCGTTTAAATATCAAACTGTTTATATTTTTAACAATAGAAATTTTTAAACACGTTTTAAAACAGATGTGGTTCGTTAAAACACATTAAACGAGTTTGATTTACGTAAACAGAACTGCAGTAAATAACGAAAGTCATTTCATGTATATATGTTTAATGAGAAAAATGATTTTAATAGTTTTTCGGAACTTGATGTACATGTATATCATATACATCAAGTTATTATATGATATGTTTGAACATATGAATTTAATATCTCCAATGTCATTTAGTCTTGAAGACTAGGTGCGTCAATATCTTGCACAATGTTCGAATTCGAATAAAAATGTGCACCCTAACGCATAGATACTCTATTCTATTATATTTTAATTTTCACTTTATTACATATGAATTTTAAATATATTGTTTACAACATAATATATGCAGTTTGAATCGTTTTTAATGTTATTGTCTTAATACAGAGTGATATGGAAATTCGGGTAGTCTTGAAAGTAATGTCTTCAACAATAAATTAAACTAACTAAACAAATGGCTTATTTTGTGTTAATCAAAAACTAATAAAACTTATTAATTTTGAAATATGTTATATCTCTTAATTAGTTCTTCTTATATACAATTACTTATATTTCAGACAAGCCCATATAATTTACAACTATTAAATATATAATAACGTCTTGTGCACTGTCCATTCGTTAAATCGAATGAACGAACTATGCAATCGTTACCTAGAATAGTAGGCAATGATTGTCGTTCGTTAAATTGTACATTTAACGTTAAATAAGACATTCGTTAAATTATACATATAACAATAAATCAGATATTTGTTAAATTGTTTATTTGTTATACTAGAGAGCGCTACTATGTATAACATAGCATATTTGTCCAAATGATTGCAGAGATTGAAAACCGTTTTCAAATTTGGTTAACATACAATTTTATTTTTTATTATATTTTGCGTAAATTTGCAGTAGCAAATATTGACTTATAAATTAAACGTAGACTATAACTTACACTATCAACATTCCTTGTTGCATTTAAATAACATGCATACGCATCCCTAGGTTGCCCACAACTTTCATATAGTATTCCTAAATTCGTCCAAGCTGCTTTATGATTTTTATCTAGTTGTACTGCACAGATATATGCTTGTAAAGCATCAGTAGGTTGATTTTGTTGTTGATATAAAACACTACATAAAATAAAAGATATTAGCTTAAGCGAGTTCAAGAATAAGAATATAAAAATGCATACCCTATAGAACACCATGTATCAGCGTTTCCTTCACTTTTCTCAACCGAATTTCTATATGCTATGAATGCATCATGCACTTTATTTATTCCAGCATAACATCTACCTAACAAATATAATGATTGTCCTGAATTTGGATTAGCTTCGATGGACTTTTGTAAACAATGTATTGCGTATGTTTCTCTTTGTTTCTTATCTCCTAATAACTCAACACAGTGGTACATCCATCCTAAAATTATTATAAAAATAATATAATATATTACAAAATTAAGTACTGATTGATGCTAATTGATTACATACCCAGTTGTCTATAAATATCTGCTTTTAAATCTAATGTTAGTTCCTTATCATGCAAAAGTTGTTCATATGCCTCCTTTGCCGCTTTGTGTTTGTTCTGGACTTCATACAGATGTGCAATATGAAATCGAACTTTAAAAGAAAAATTTGTATATATATTTTAATCACTACAAAAATAATTCATATTCCGTATTATTCTAATGAAATGATTTTAATTTTTTAAAAATGAGTATTATACTTACAGTATGGAAATGTAATTTGTGTACTTTTATCTCATTAGTGTTGCCAGTTACATCTGTTACAAATATTTTCTTTTTTTATTTGTTTGTCTTCTACTAAAAGCTTCTCGTAATCTGATTTTTCATGAATATATACTTGCAAATAAATGAATATCCTGCCAATACAAAACACCAACTTGTTTCTCTTGCTTTTCGTAGTTAATTAATTATTAATAATATTAATAATTTTTTTGCACTATTTTCATTAAAATATTTTTATTTATTTATTTTTTTTTTTTGTTTTTAGAAAGAAACAAATATGTATTTTGTTAGTACTTTTTTATGGACATTTTCACACTACTTTAAAAACACTATTGAATTGATTTCATATACGACAACTTTATAAAATTAGTAATTGGAAAACTTTACTAGTCCCAACCAACAACATCTTCTGTGCCTTCTCTTTGCTCTTGTTCAAGTTTTCAACGTCGTTTTTCCATAGTCGTTATTCGCGATAGTCATAGGTTTTTCAAAAAAGGATCTGATAAGTACTGGTCGGTTCCAAGAACGGTTCGCCCAACACAAAAGCAAATACCAAACAGATTCCTGCGAGTTCCAGCAACCACATACGATTACTGATCCAACTAACAGTAGTCGAGAATATCATCTGTCTTAAGCATTTATTGCAGATGATAAAGACATGAGCACACAATTTATAAGAAAATTTGAATTTTTAAATGAATTTCTTATAAAAGTGATTGTCAAAAGTAAAAAAACCAAGTGTGTTGATCATAAACTTGTGAATGGTGGTGTATGAAACCGCTGTTCAACCACACACACATACACACACAATCTTCTTTAAATTCAATGCTGAAATGATTAATATTGTTATTACATTGAAAAGCAATTATTATCACCAAATGTCATAACAAGTCTTTAATACACATTGATATTGTAATATTTAATACACATATAGGGGTTCGTTTAGAAATAGAAATAGAAATTGAAAGTATGAACTTTTATTAACACAGATAGAATCTAAATGAATGTTATCACATAAACTAGAACTATTTATGTTTTCTTTGAAAAACATGCAAAAACTTTATACTTTTCAAGTTTTACACAAAGTATCTGTTATGCACTATCTTTTAAAAACAAATTGCTTATATATCTATTCTGGAACCAGGCCGGTAGCCAAGTGAGAGCAGGATTGAGAAGATGAAATGAATCAAAAGACTATATGTATTCACATGTCTATTCATTATTAATGCATCATTACATGACTGAATTTATCATTTCATATTTTATCTGAAAGTTTCACTCCCGAAGTAAATTTCTGGCTACGAGCCTGTCTGGCACTAAATATTCATATTAAAATATAACTATTCATTAAGACATATTCATTCCTTCATCACAAATACAAAGAAAAGTTTTAGTCGTTTTAGAAATTCGAGAATGACTTGTTTTAATTCTATTATTCTACAACACATAATTCTACTCGTACATATATTCATTTCAAACAATATATATATGTACCATGCAACATTTTAATCCGCAACTAGATATAATTTCTACTTATAAGTATGATAATCGGATGAAAGTATAAATAATTTATGTATGATCAAAACTTACTCTGAAGTTGGGTGAATGTTGACGGTGATATATCAAGTAACGCTAATTGATAATGCTTTAATGATGCTTTATATTCACCAACTACTTTGAGCATAAACCCGAGACGCAAATGAGCCTCATTCGCACATGAAAAACAAGGATTCAAGTACAATAATTGTTGAAATGCTCTTATTGCCCTGAAAATAAAAGAAATAAAAATATTTTACAAGTGCACTAAAAATTTTCTCATAATAATACTAAATATATATACGTACATATTAACAACAATATACAAGTGTACAACAAATTGTGTACATTCATATGTGTATAATTTTCACTCATTCAACACATATACAACAACGTCAAATTAACAAAATAAATGCTAAATGTATCATAATAAATGCCAAATTTATCATAATATATGCTAGACTCATCATAATAAATGCTCAAGTTATTATAATAATTGCTATTGTACATAATAAATTGTAATACATCGTAGTATATCGCAGTGCCACAATAGAATAATGCTAATCACTTTAAAAAATTCTTTAATAATCACTGCAAAACACAGACCATAACTATTTATTCAAAGCTAACAGATTGGTTAACTCTGCTGTCCAGGAAACTTTTGGGTAAGTTTAGTTTGAACTTACCCAAAGGTCGTACTAAATATTTTCGAATTGAAAACAAGTTTTTTCTTATTATGATAACTCAGCGTAGTAAAGATATATTTTAAGTTAATAATCGAAATAGCTAGTTTCCGCAGAAATATACAAGCAAAAATATACCCAGATCTAAAAGTCTCATTAAAATTTATACACTTTATAAAGTCTGAGTTGTCTATTTTGACGGAATTACTTATATCTAAAAGTTAAGTGCCATTCACAATTTCCATTGAAGTTTTATCGATCATTATCTTCAGTACCTAGCGACACAGCCTAGGATGGACTACTCATGTTAAAGAGAAATGCTTTTTGGTAGCTTTATTTTTTAAATTATTTTTGGTTTTCGCTTAATTAAATTCAGATATATTTTACTGAGGTCGGTTCACATCTATTCTTATTCCATGTCGTATCAATTTCAATCTGTATGATTTCACACATATCACAGTCTTCATTAACTTCATTAACTAGCGCCATAGCCTGAAATGAACTTATCATTTCAATAAGAAATGTTCTTTATCTTTTGCCTGGTTTATGCTTGGTTGTAGTCAAACATATTTTACTAGAGCCGGCTTATATCTACTGTTACACTATTTGGTGTCCATCTCAATATATTTAATTTTGCATATTTCACACTCTGCTCTTCAATTGTCAGCGGCATACTTTCTCGTTGATTTTAAGTGTATGATTTTATAAACGTCACGATTTGGGCAGAAAACACTATGTAAATATTGGCAGCGATTCCTTGTCATCGGTTGTCATTGTATAAATATCGGCGCCATAGGTTACAGAAATTTAAAGATTTTAAGACCAACAAAATATGATTTATTTGCTTATAAAATAAATTAACTTATATCTACACGTAGGCAAATCAAAGCTTACCTTACCTACTCCTTTCAAATAGTAATTACCAATGTTTATAGTTTGTAGTTGCTGTCTGTTACTGCTTCCTGACAAGCTTATTTTCACAATAACTTTTCTAGACGCTTTGTTGATACTATCGACCTTATAGATCTAATAGACCATTCACGTAAGTTATTTGTAATAAACTCTGATTCATTTGTTATTGTTTAAAACAATATGGTTCTCATTTTTATACATTTTATTAAAACAGCTTTGTTAAAACATCATTCTAACAGATGGTTTTAGATATTACCACTTAAGTTTTTATCTAGAATTACAAAGCTCGAATAATAAATATATAATCTTGGCAAAAGACAAACGGAGTCCGCTTGTTGTAAAATTAAATTGTATGTTCTGTTTTGTATTTTTAAAAAATAAAATTAATGACGAGAATTTTAGTACATTAGAAATTATTGAAATAATCAATTATTTAACAAATGATCACAGACTGACAATGCCTGAGTAATTGTCAATCTGAGTGCATTGTTGTACTGTACTTCCTAATCAGACAGGAACAATTTAATTCCACATCTACCGTATGCCATATTCCACATTATTTTTTGTTCCTTCATCAAAAAGAATTAAAAAGAACTCATTGTGATAAAAAATTTAGGACTGATTACTACAGTAAAATCCTAGTTTGTAGGGTTGAAGAAGAACTTGTACCATTAAAATAAATTTATCTATGGGCCAATAGGCTTAAGTAAGTGCTTATGATCACCGGTTTAACCCCTAGCCTAATTTAAATAATGTCGTCGAGCTATAGAAAACTGTCTGTTAACATCATATATAGTGTTTCACTAGTAACGTAAACTAAAACTTATTATGTTGTAACATGGCATTGTTAGTGCTTCAATAAAGTTTCATAACCTAACATCTCTATGCATGTCAGCCGAAATATTTAGTTTACACAAAAGCATACGTCTTATTAAAATTAGTACACTATTTTATAAGTTCCGAGCTGCCTTTTTCTTCAATCTACAGAGAGCAGTGGTTTCCAAACGCTGGTCCGCGAGATGGTTAAATATAGTTGGTGAATCAAAATCAACAAGTATGGATAGAACACATATGCACACACTGAGACCTCACTTATTAGAAAATAACCATAAAAATTTTCCAATTATATACCTATATAATATACCTAAGCACTTATACAATTCAATACACATTATACCAGAGATGCATAAGGCATATTAAGCAAAAATTCACACAGTTTATTATTCTTAAACTTTGTGGTCTCTAATAAAAACAAAAATGTCATTGTGGTCGGTGGTCCCGGGTCAAAAAAAAGGCCGGGAACAACTGACACCATCACTCGTAGTTAAATCTAAGTGCCGACGACGTAAGATAATGTAGTTATGCTAAACTAATGGTAATCATTAAATATGTGCAATATCTGATGACAATATGTTTAAATGCTTTAACTTACGCTTCAACGTCTTTTTAATTTTTTTATTGACAGGTTAGGTTATCCAATAAATTCTTTTAAATTTAAGTGCAAACAATAATTATTTAAATTTTATAACATAATGATACTAAACGTTTAAACTGTTATTTTGTAATTAGTTAAAAACTTTAAAAAAAAAACTTTAACTATATTTATTTAACCTACTTTTAGCCGTATGTACACATATATTATATATATATATATAAAACACTTGTCGTTGTAATTTGTAAACGAGAGAGAAGTTCAAAAGATATTTATTGGTTAACTGTAATTTAAATTACCACTAATTTAATCTAAATTATAATTTAATTATTTATTTATTCTTTAACACAAAACTCATAGTTCGAAGAAGTATTTCCTGCAAGCGTTCAGATCTGCAAGGAATGAACACATGCTGCGAACAGATATTTTGATATTTTGACACGCACTTTGCAGATGGTTTACATTCATGGAGCTGGGGTCAACGTTTTGAAGTAAAATAATTTGTATCTCTTTATATATCGTGTGCTAAAATCAGCCATTACTGGTTTTGTTTTGTAGTCTTATTCTTTGTTTCTTTTCTTTTGCTATATTTAGGGAATTCTTAAATTAAGGTATGAAGTACAAAGCACGGCTATATGCACATGTGAATGTGACTCAAAAACAAACACTTGGTATGTTTACTTATTTAGTAACCATGTTCAAATATTATTAACACACTTATTCCAGAAAAGAATATATTTCTACATAAAAACAACAATCAAGCTCCACATTTACTTGTTCGACACAAAACCTTATCGACAGCTGTCGGATCGCTGACACTGCTTGTCAATCTTCAAAGACATGAAGTTGGAAACTAATTGCAACTAATGAAACAATGAGTTATTAAGTTAGGTTTTCATTATGAAAGACCTATTTTCATTTTATATTCTCTTTAAAAGTATAAGAATTAAGCTAAACTAAATCTCTTGGAAATTGCAAACACAAAAAAAAAACCCATTAATTTTAGAACTAAGTCTAATGATTAATACGATCAAGTTCTGTGAATAGCTTCACAAACCCTTTTAATAGTTTAACTATTTTCATTATTAGTAATATTAAGCCATATAAATTTCTAAAGCTGGGAAACTATTTCAACCGAAATGTAAATTTTGAATTGTTAATTATCTTCCGTTAATTTATAATCATTTCCACTAAATAATATATTGAATGGACGGACATTTACATAAGTTGAGTGTAATCACATGTATTAGTGATAGCACGAAAATATGATAGTGTTTTTATAATGTTAAATTAAGTAAAAAATATATCTAAATCTAAACAAACATAGTACTTTAATAATGAAAATGAAAATTATTAGGATTTAATAACAATTTACTAATTTGTAAATTATTGTTATGAAATTGAAAAAGAAATTAATCTTAAGTTCTAGAAAAAATTCAGCTTATACCCGTATTAAAATTTTATATTAACCCTATGTGTGGAAAATAGAGCTCATCATATATTAAAATATGGGTATGCCATAATATGGGTATGGGTATGCATAATCAAAAACAAAAATGTGCCTTTCCAAGCTTCTTAACCAACAAACACATTTCTAAGTGTTATTACTGAAGCCACATAAGCAGTTAATGAACATTTCCTTGTGCTGTGTGAACAGCTTATTACCTCACGCAAGTATAATGAGTTGACTTTGATTTTGTTCATTTCGCTTGTTTTTTTTTTTTAATGATGATTATATCATATCATAATTTGTACAAAATTAAGTTGAAATCAAGTTTGTAATTTACTATATAAGCCGGCTGCAGTAGGTAGATATGTTAAAAATTAAGTTAAGAGCAAATACATTTCTATAATGCCGAGCACGATTAATCTACAGTCACCACTGTTTTTCATTAATTAGCATGCATTGAAAATGGTTAACTACTATAGAAAAAGATTGCAGTTTTATTATGCATTGGACGAAATTCTCAGGAATAATAAAAATTTCCTCCAAAAGGAAATTTTCTTATTCTTATTTTTTGAAATATTACTGCAATGTTCGCAATTTTCATTTATTAGTGCAAATACTATAAAAACAAAAATGAAAAATAAATAAGATAACAGATAAGACTTACTGTGTGTACAGGCTTTTAATAAAGTAAGCAAACCAGTAAAATCAAATCAAAGTTATTTGTGTCGGGTAAACACAGTATGAAGGTTCAGT